GGGGCGGGCCTGGGGCGAGCTGTGACTCCTGTATTTTAATGATATCAGTCCCAGCCAGCTTGGAGAGCACTGACCCGTCGCACTGTCCGCATGCCGTACGAGTGGCGGGGCAGAGCGAGAGGTGAGATGTAACGCCGTGTTCCATATCATCCCTCCTTGTTTGGCAAAGGGGAAAGGTTCGCCCCCTCTCCTACTCAAATTGTTAAACCCTAGCTCTGTTGGGGAAGAAATCGTCGTCAAATTTGGCATCAGGTGGCCACACGTTTTCCATCCCTCAGAGTAGAGACGCGATTCTAAATGAGTTCTAGAATACGCATTCGGTTCCTAGATACCGTATTCTTTGGAAGAGGATTCATGGCGCAATCTTCGTCAAACCGCCGCTGGCGTTTCTCCTCTCCTCTAATTTATTTGACAGGTGCCTTGGCAAGTCCGTGAGCCAGGCAGGACGTGGCAAAGGGTGAGGGCGGCGGTGAGGTCTCGAGGTCCCTGCCCTGTGGGCGCTCCTCCTCCTGCCTGGGCCGACCGTGCCCTTGTGGTGGGGGGGGGGGGGCGACGTGCGCGAGGAATGATTTGAGGGCCAGAGGCTCGGGAAGTGACCGAGCTGGGGGTAACGGTGGAGTGCACACCACAGTCAAATCTCCCGAGGGTTGGATGGGGAGGAGGTTTGGGGGGGCATCGTTAATCTTCCCATACTCATTGCGAGCCCTGTGTGCCGGACACCGTCGCGGCCACGACACTTGCTTCCTGCCTCGTGCCTCACCTGTGCGCGCCTTTAGGTCCGTGGGAACCTGCAGCCCGGCTGCGTCCTCGCGCCGCGGACTCCTCGACGCGATCCTGGCCCTGACCTGAGACGAGACGCCGCTGCTCGGGAACGGGGATAGAGAGAACCGCCCCTGGGAAGAGGAGGAGATTTTTAAATAAGATGATGTGTAGATGATTCCGTGTGCGCGCGAGGATGCCGCCTTGTCGGAAGAAGGGAACCTCTCTGCGGATGTGGTGTTCCCGCCGCCGCGCGGCGCGGACCTGTCGCGAACGTGATCCACGAGAGATGTGCCGAGTGATTTCGAGTCGTGTGCTGGTCGTCGACCGAGGATTGCATCGGGGACCTTGTCTAGCGGGAGCAGCAGCGAGCAGTGCCTGGCGGACGTCCACCGCGCCGCACCACGCCACCACGCCGCGCCCCACCCCACCCCGCCACGCCCCACGCCGCCTGGACAGCGGTCAGCGTCCACCAGTACCCCAGTGGCCTTGAGCGATCTCTGCACACAATTCAAGGCGGGTCCAACCGAACACGAGGAGAGGGCCGCCACGCCGTGCCGCGCCGGACTGGTGGGACGTCTACTTTTAGAATAACTACTAGACGAACGATTCGTTCGTATAACTGTTGTTGATTCGGCCAATTTGTCGCAAATAATGCTTATACATACTTAATACACGATGAATAATGTATGCGTTGGTCGGACCTTTAATCAGTTTTGTGTCGTAAGTGAGAGTCGTGGGAGTGGGGCAGGGTGGGGTCATTGGGGCGCCCTCGCGGACGCGGCGCGGTGGCCGGACGGCCAGTCGGACGGTCAAGGTCATAGATCTGGGAGGGTCTGGGCCATGTGCACTACAAGTAGCACGCGATGTGTCGCCTCGGTCGCCTATATCAGGGGGGGGGGGGGCAGACACCGAAGGATGTGTTCAAATTTCCAGTCCAACACCCAAGAGTGTACATCATACAGTTGAACAATACCACGTGCATGCCAGTTGTACACTCAGTTGCACGCCTTTATTTTCAGTGTAGGATCATGCAGAAAGGACATCCGTCATACGCAATTATGTGCCAGCCTAGTCGAGCACGGCACATGCAAGCTGGCCGGTAGCGCCTGGCAGGTAGGCAACACCTTGTCAGTAGTTCAGGCGTGCGCTGCTTCGTGGCCTACCCCGAGTCTCGCAGGCGCCGAGCTTCAGTACTTTACCGACATAATCCGAGAAAAACGGACGGCGTCTGGACGATCATATACGGAAACCCACCAGCGTATGTAGGCGTGCGACACAGTACGCACCAAAAACAGTGAGAGGTCCGAACCGAATCGGCACCCAGTATGGCAACAAGTAACGTGAACACCGGTGAACACGTGAAGGCTCACATGTAATGGGTCGTTACTTTTAGGGGGGAACAAATATTATGGGGTCCCGAAAGGAGCAGGTCAGGACCATAACGTAGGGCCCCGTGCGTTAACATTATGCACGGGGTAGCTGAGCGAAGTGCATTAAATTTACAGAAGACATAAAAAACAACAAAACTATACCGAATGAGGGTCCGCCTAGTAGGTAGGCAACCGTTCCCTGCTCCTTAAAAGAGA